TAGTAGAAAGTTACTGGAAGCAACGCATGAGACGAGAGGTAAACTCTAGAGCATTTTTATCTAGTATATTATCCGATAAAAAATATGTAATATGCGGAGATGATGAAATTTGGATCGTAAATCCATCTATAACAACCATGCATTTCATTATGGAAAATTGAAATAGCACACGAAGTGACATACAGTGTCAATTCCCTAGTGTTACGCAACCAGCAAACAGTGGGAAAAACATAAGGAAGTAAACAAAGCATTAAAACTGCCAGTCCTACTTTTTCCACTTTGTTGTTTCACGTAACGTACTTTCGCCATAACCATTACGAAGGCATCGCGTACATGTGCATAAATAAAGGCTTCCAAAAGATGCACTATCGAATAACAGGGATATACTTATTCGATACGTTTTGAGGCATAAAACTACAAATGAGTTAGAAGCCGTTCGAACGAGAGTTTAGTAATTATCTGCATAAAGTTGGCGTCATACGACGTTATTATAGCGAATGCTCGAAATAAAGTTTCTACTTTCAGCGAAAATAAAAACTTATCCTATCTAAAAGCCGTGCATTGTCGTTTAAACCGACCAGCATTAACCTGTCATCGATCTACCATGGCTGCAGTCCTTCCACCAACCAGGGCGCACAAGATCAAATCAGAGATTCAAAAGGAAACTACTGCTGCAGAAATCGCATCAACAAGCAAAAGAAAAGTTGTATTTTTAAATAGCAAAAGACTGAGCTCAATAGGGCAAGATTTCGACTGGATCTGGCAGCCTTTGTCAACCGAGTGACATGACTCATATGATCAAATCATGCCTAACAACTTACAAACTATTAAACTGGAGCCCTCCTGAAAATGAGTAATGGAGAACAATGGTTTTCTCGCTACCAAAAGTTTTATTTTCCGCATACTTCGGTAAATGCATGATGAATCAACACTACCCTGCGCTGCCAGAGAGCAAACGTTCATAGCCCGTGATTCATAATCAAATGAACTTGCAACTTTACGGACGAAGAAATAAAAATAACGTCATATTAACCAAGAAAATGCTACGTTTCGTAATCGCTGAATTAATTTCCCAGCACAAAATACTTTCTTCATCAAGTTACAAATCAACAGAATGAAACGCAGACGCGTAACCGACTACAATCACAAAAATTTTATTTATAAAGCTTACTTACTCACAAGTCCCCAGGATAAACTTCGGATATTCCGAATATGTACATTCATTGTAACAGAATCTACGCAGTGAAGCAGATTACAAACAAACTTGCATCCACGATACAAAGCAACTACAAAACGTCGTTTTGCTGGTCACAACAGGTATATATCAGTGACATAACTTGAAAATCGTTGCTGACGTAACGATAATTTGCGTACTGTAAGAACCACTGTATCTGTTCCTTTCTTAGAGAATATTATTTATCATTGCAAAGTCATTGCCAGCACATGCTAGCAAAAC